AGCCCTAACTGCAAAAATTCAGACTTTTGCTGCGGAACTAGAGGAGCCCAAATAGTGGCTTGTCTAAGGTCGCAGGTTAGCAAGGCTTGGACCTAAGCCTGCTGAAAGCAGGGCCCGCCGTCCTCCTCTGAACTTCCGCCAGAGCCCTCGGGTTGAGAGGAAAGGGAGCCAGCTGGAGAGTCCCAGTTTGCTTCAGATTCCCTATCTCCAGGAAGGCCTCCTGGGTCATAGTGGGAAAGCACAAAGTAACATCAGAGACATTAAGAAACAAAAAACAGCAGGAGTGGGAGAGCCGTTTATCCAAGGTTACCTGATTAGTGACTCAGAGGATTCCAAGCAGACCACGGGCTGGCATGGGTTCTCAGCCTCTTTCTGTACAAGTCTCATAGTCAGGTTTTGAACACAATCTGGCTGCCTCTGAAGTGAAATTTGCCATCTCACTCTGAAGCATCCCTTCCGATTCCACCCTCCCCGGACTCCTAGAACTGAGGAGTAGTGCACAGTAGAGGCAGAGCATTCGACACCCAGCAAGTCCACTAGTGTGGTTGTTGGTGTTGTGTATGGCTGGACCTCAGTCAGCCAGTTCATCGTTTGCTCTCTGCCCTTCTCCGGTACCTGGGGGACAGGATTGTAGGTAACTAGTCTGACCTCTTGGCCCTTCCCATTATGCTGACCCTTGAAGTCTGGAATCCACGAGGGGATGCTGAGGCCGAAAAGAAGAGCCAATCAAGGCTCCCTTCTTCACTCCACCAAACCCTGAGCTCCTATGTCCTGAGTGCTGTTCTAGACATGAAACGGGTCCCTGTCCCCGAGAAGTTTACCTAATCATAATGGGGTAGAAAGGCAATAGGTAAGGCCACGAGATGGCTCAGCTGGTAAAGGCATCTGCTGCCAAGCCTGAAGACCCGACTGTGATATCTTAGAATCTACTTAGTTGAAGCAGAGAATTGACTCAGGAAGGTTGTCCTCCAACCAACAGATGAGCTCTGAGGCTCGTCTGTGCCCTCCCCACAACATCCATCTATCCATCTGCCCATCTGTCCGTCCGTCCGTCTGCTTGCCTGTCAGCCCATCTGCCTGTCCATACATACATACAGGAATACATACATACACATACATACATACATACACACTGTGTAACACAGCACTTTAAAAGCAGAAAAACAATCGATAGAAAATAGGCAAACAAAAAGTGCAAACCAGAAGACAGGGACAAAGGTCATATTGAGTACCTGGGAGAGAAGACTCGGCTAGCTCTTTTAGCCTGGTGACAGCTCTGGACAAGTAAGGCTAGCCTGAGATCTAAAGGATGTTAGGGTATGAACAACAGGAGCAATCAGGGAAAAGGACATTCCTGGTAGAAGTGACAGCTCGTGACAATTCCCCAAGTATGTACTTCACATGTCAGACTGCACTGGACAGGGAGATCTATTTGTGCATCCTGATAGGTCACTTAATTAATTTGTTTATTTAAATTCTATTTTATGTGAATGGGTGTTTTGCATATTCTGACAATTTTTAATTTAGATTTAATTTAATTTTCTGTATTTTGGTGTTTTGCCTGCATGTATGCCTGTATACTGTGTACATGTCCATAGAAACCAGAAGGGGGCCACTGGAGCCCCAGGAACTGGAGTTAAAGATAACTGTGGGTTGCCATGTGGGTGCTGGGAATTTAATTTATGTCCAGGGCAACAAACACTCTTAGCTGCTGGCATTGTTTGTTTTTGGAGACAGAGTTTCTCTGTGTAGCACTAGCTGTCCTGGAACTCTCTCTGTAGACCAGGCTGGCCTCGAACTCACAGAGATCCGCCTGCCTCTGCCTCCTGAGTGCTGGGATTAAAGGCGTGCGCCACCACCGCCCTGCCGACCTTCTTTAAGCGCATTGCACTTAGTGTTCCAGGGCACTTTAAAGATAAATGCACATATCCAGTTATACACATCTATGCCTTATTCAGTGTATGCTTTGGGTTACAATCTAATATATATTGGTGGCTAGGTGGTAGCTTTGGTGAGGTGCTTGCTTGCAGACATGAGAACCTGGGTTTGGACCTCCAGGACTTGTCTGAGGAGCCTTGCCTTCCTGCTGAGATCCAGGTCAACGCAAGACTGCCTCAAAGTCAAGGAAGAAAGTAACTAAGGGATGACAACTGAGCTTGCCCTCTGACTTGCACACGCGTGGGTGCACACGTGCACCTAACAAAAATACAGGCACACAGCTGCTAAATGTTCTCTAGAGGAACAGACCTTACAGAATGAAGATACCTATATCTACATATTTCTAGATATAGATATATAGATAGATATGGAATGCGTTTAGAATGGCTTATAGGCTGTGGTCTAGATAATCCAATAATGGCTGCCTACCAATGGAGGGTCACCAGTGAGGTTCAGTAGTAGCTCAGTCCATAGGCTGGATGGTTTAGCTGGGTTTTGGTATAGATCAGAATCCCAAAGAAGTAGGCTTGATGCCAATGGAGGAATGGACTTGCCAGTGAGGGCAAGAAGGCAAGGAGCAAAAGCTTCCTTCTTCCACAGCCTGTCTATAGGCTGCCAGCAGAAGGGGTGGCCCAGGTTAGAGGTGCATCTGGTTTAAAAGTGGGTGCTCCCACTTCAAGGGATTTAATTAAGAAAAAAAAATCTCTCACAGATATAAAACACACTTGGTTTTTACTTAATTCCAAATGTAGTCAAGATGACAACCAAGAATAACCATCACAACTCCCTCCCCTCAGAAATCATGTATTTCTACCTGTTGTTCTTGCAGAGGACCTGGATTTTGTTCCCAGCCCACATGTGACAATTATAACCCCCTGCAATTCCAGTTCCAGTGGATCCAGTGCCCTATCCCAGCCTTCATGGGCACCAGGCATTCATACGGTATATATACACACAAACATGCAAGCAAAACACTTATACACATATCATATATATGTACAAAAAGCCGGGCCTTGCCTTTAATCCCTGCACTCCGGAGGCAGAGGCAGGTAGATCCCTGTAGATATGAGGCCAGCCTGGCCTACAGGACAAATTTCAGGACAGCGAGAGCTACATGTAAGACCCTGTCTCAAAACAAAAATAACAACTTCCCAAGAAATCTTTGGCCTTCGGGGTGACAGAAGTGCTGTCTACCCTAGTCTGATCATTCCATGCTGTGCGTGTGTGGGAATGTCACACCACAGCCCCTGGCTAAGTCCTGGAGTGGAGCCAGAGAAGGCAGACAGACTCACACGCTGTGGCTGTCCTCCAGCCTCCTTAGCACATGTGTGGCCAGATGCATGGCTATCTCCGTCTGTCCTCCAGCTGCCATCTGCCCTCTGCCTCTGTACACCCATTACTTCAGCTCCTAAGGACAGAACGTAGGCTTCTTCAGGAGGACCCTTCAGCACCTCCCTGATTCTGTTCCAGCCCCATCCTCAAATATTCTGTACTTCCCCACTAATTTAGCCTCTAGTGGCTTCCCTTCCCTTCCTTTCCCTTCCCTCCCCTCCCCTCTCCTCTCCTCCTCTTCCTCTCCCTCTCCCCTTCTTTCTTTCTTTTTCTGGTACTGGGAATTTGGACCCTTTGACTTAAACAGCTAAACAAGTACTCTACCTGAGGTTCATCCTCACCACTAATAAAATAAAATAAAATAAAATAAAATAAAATAAAATAAAATAAAATATTGAGACAGAGTCTGGCTCTCTTGCCTACACTGGTCTTGAACTTCCTCTGTAGCGCAAACTGGCTTTAGGAAGCTCTCTTCCTGCCTCAGCCTTCTGAGTGACTGGATTATAAGCACAGTCATCCCATCCTTCTTTTCTTCTTTTTTTCAAGACAGGGTAGCCTGTCTTCTCTGTGTAGCCCTGGCTGTACTGAACAGGCTCTGTAGACCAGACTGACCTTGAACTCAGAGACCCTCCTGTCTCTGCCTCCCTAGTGCTACAGTTAAAGCCCTACACCGCTACCACTACCATATGGCCTGTAGTTGGTTTGGGGTTGTTGTTTTTAAACTCTTTAGGGGTCCACTACCAGCTCCCAAATAAATACACAAAGATTTATTCTTACTTATGAATGCTTGGCCTTAGCTTGACTTGTTTTCTAGCAAGCTTTTCTAACTTAAATTATCCCACATAACTACTTTTTGTCTCTGGGATTTTTACCTTTTTTTTATTCTGTATACCTCTCTTTCCTTCTTACTTCATGACTGGCCATGCGGCTGGACAGCTGACCCCTGGCGTCTTCCTCTCCTCCTTTTCTCACTCCTCACTCTCTTCCCTAGATCTCTATTCTCTCTGCCTGCCAACCCCACCTATCCTTTCTCCTGCCTTGCTATTGGCCGTTCAGCTCTTTATTAGACCAGTCGGGTGTTCTAGGCAGGCAAAGTAAACAGATTTATAGAGTTAAACAAACGCAACATAAAAGAATACAACACATCTTTGCATCATTAAACAAATATTCCACACATAATGAATACTCCATGCATAAATGAATATAACACATCTTAAATCAATATTCCACAACACTAGCCCATTTTCTCCTGCAACATCTACCTTCAGGAGCACACATGAGCGCGCACACACATGCACACTCATGCACACACACACAGGCAGTCAGGCACTGGGTGGGCACTCAGAGCAAGGATTGATTTTTTTTCTGCTTCACATAAGCCATTTCATACAAGACAGGGAGGGGCTTATAAGGCGTCCATTGTCGCATAAAATGTTTTTAATTTCATGGCATATTCTTTCTGGGGGAGAATCTATATACTTTTATCATAATTATCTTAAAGATCGCCAGAGTCTGGCAAGATGGCTCATCAGCTAAGCACACTGACTGCTCTTCCAGGGGGAGCAGGGTCTGGTTCCCAGCGCCCACATGACCGCTCACAACCACCTGTAACTCCGATGCCCTCGTCTGTTATCCGAGGCTCACATGTGCCGCACAAACACACATGCAGTCCAAACACCCATTTACATAAAAATAAGTAATTGTTTAAAAAGATATGACACTTCCCGCTCACAAAAGGTTAAGAATCATCGTACATTTTATAAATAATTGTTCTGAATGGCTGTATCTATCTGTAACAGTTGTATACTCGATAAACACTTACTGAATGAATAAGCCTCCCCCGCATTAGGATGTTTTTTTCAATGAGAAAAAACTGCAACAACAACAACAACAAAAAGCTCAAAAGAAAACTGAGGGGAAGATTTTTAAACGTTGATTATTTCAGCCCGCTGTCTGGTGACCCCCAAGTACCGTCTTCTCAGCTGGGCCCACTGCTTAAGACTGGTACTTCAGTGGTTCCCAGCCCCTGCCAGCACCCGTCTCCTGTCCTGAAATCCACCTACTGCGCCTTTGCAGCCTGTCAGCTGAAAATAACCCTGAAGCAGGGGGTGCGAGCACTTAGGCGCTCCTTCCGCAGAGGGAGACTCTGCCCCCTGCTGGCTGCTCAGCTTCATCGACCCGGGGAGAGTCCAAGACCGAGGTCCCCACGCAGGAACCGAGGGCTGCGAGGCAAAGGGGAGGTGAAAGGAGAAGATTCCCCCCTCCCCACACACACACCCAGGGGACAGGCTTCCAGCCTGTAACCTGGCTTGAATCTGGAGCGGCTGTGCTTCTTCCCCATGGTTCGGGTGTCCCAGGCTAGCAGTTAGGGAGGCAGGGACAAGACGGCTGTGGAGGCGCATCTGTAGCTCCAGGGAGGTCCGGTCTCTCAGACCTGGCTTTCTCATTGATCCCTTTTTTCCTGGGTCCCGCTGCGACACCTTTCGATCCTGAGCCAATTCTCTGCATCGCCTACACTTGGCGTGCAGTGTGCCAGCCGCCCCATCACCATGGAAACAGGAGCCTCTGCATCCTTCCTAGAGCAAATTTGCGAAGCTATGAGAAGAATCTGGATTTGGGAGGGAGGGTCATCAAGGTTATTGAATACCACGTACCTTGTGAAGATGGTTGACTTTTCTGACGTTAACGCTGCCTGTCCTCTCGGTCCATCCAAACCGACCAGCTTCTCCTGATGTAGCCTTGAGATAAAGGCCTCTAAGCATCACTTTTCTCATCTGTTAAATAAAAATAATAGCCGCACTTACTTCACAGGGCTGCTGTAAGAATCCCATTAGGTAATGCACACATAACACTTAAGTCAGCACTCGGCATGCAGTGAATGCTCAAAATGTTGTTGACGTGATTTCTGCATATTTATTATTTAGGTATTTGTTATTTCTGCTGCCAAACTGCTAGTCCCTTGGTAATGATGCCTTTTGGCATGGTGGCACTCACCTGTGACCGCAGCACTCGGGAGGTGGAGACAGGAGATCAGGAGAGTCAAGGCTAGATTCACTACATAATGCGTTCAAAGCCAGCGTGAACGTGAGACCCCCCCCCACCTCAAAAAGACAAAAATGGAAAATCATGAATTTTCTTTTCCGTCTCATGCGTGTGTGTTGTACAAATATGAGCATGTGGATCAGATTGTGTACCTATTTTCAGAAATGCAGAGGCCAGAGCAGAACATTGTGTGCTCCCCTCCACTCTTCTCTACTTCTTGCCTTGAGACAGGGTCTCTTGTGAACTGAACCCAGCATGTTGGCTAGGCTAGCTGGCCAGGAGGACCTCAAGGTCTTCCAGGATTTGCCCCACAATGCTGGGGTTACGGACACAACCCAGCCATGACAGGTGTTTTACCTGTGTGCTGTAGATCTAAATTCTGGTCCTGATGCTCGCAGAGCAATGGTCTCACCCACCGAGCACCTCTCTGGTCCTCCTGTCTGCTTTTCTTCCTGTCTCTTTTTTGGATGTCCTTCCACCTTGGGCTGTCACACTGTCTCTCTGAAGACCCCCCTCTCCAGACAGAGTGACCTGCAGTCTACTGCTGACTCACTCAGGTCTTGGGAGTTAATCTTCAAGTGTGGGCTCCTGAACTTCATCAAAGTGCAAGCAAAAACTCCTAACTGAATCTACACATAAAAACATGTTCACAAGCAGTCCAGGCCTGACATTTTGGCTACTTGAGGAGACTAAAGCAGAAAGATCAGAAGTTCAAATCCCTCCTAGGCAAATCTATAAGACACTATCTTAAAAATAAGTAAATAAATAGCTGAGCTTGGTGACATATGTACAGAAGGCAGAGGTAGCAGATCTCTGAGTTTGAGGTCAGTCCAGTCTGTTTATTCTAGGACAACCAGAGTTACCTAGTGACACCCTGTCTCAAAGCAAAAACAAAAAGACTTTTAACAGAAAAGCTATATAATTACACATACAGACACTTATATTTTTATTTATTTTGTCTTTGAGTTCGGGTCTTATGCAGCTCAAGATAGCTTTGAGCTTTCTATGAATTTTATGCTGGCCTTGAACTCTGAATCCTCCTGCCTCCAGTTCCCAAGTGCTGGGCTGAAAGATGTGTTCCACCACTCCTGACTTATGTGACAATATCAGGAGAAATTAAGGGATCTAAGTAGAGCATTGTCTAATGATCTTAATGGGAAGACTCATCCTCAGAAAGTTCTTTTCACACTTACCTGAAATGCACTGGGATTCCCTTCAAATCTCAACAGCTCAAAAACAGACAAGCTGGTGCATTCAGTTACGCAGAAACACAAAGCCCAAGGAAAGCCAAAATGCTCTTTAAGAGGAACAAGGCTGAGTTCCGGTCTAGCATGCACCGACGACTATAATAAATCTCCAGTTATGGAGACAGCATGCTATTGGTACAATAATAAACAAATAAAGAACGTAAATACAAGCCCAGCCACATGTGGATTCTTAATTCATGATGGAAGGAATAAGGCAGAACAGCAAGGAAATACTCTCAAGGCACAGACGAAACCACAATCTCGCACATCGAGGTTTAGGTACAAACACGGAAGACACTAAAGGCCGAATTTTCATAATTTAAAAAAAAGGTTGAGACGATGCTACCTTGGTCAGTTTGGAATGCTGTAATAAGACAAAATAAACAATAAAAGCTTCTAGGAAATAGGTAGGAACCAAGCTTAATGAGTTTAAGGTCCGAAAACGCCCCTCGAACACTACACAGAAGAGCTATGACTTAGGTTGTAGCACATGCTAGACAACCGAGCACATGCTAGACAATCCTACTCCATCCCCAGGACACAAGAGCAACAAAGAGTGAAAAGAGAAAGGCCAAATACTATGGCACATGAATTAAAATTCTTAGTTAACAGTGAAAAAGAAAAGGGGAAGTGAAGAGGTAATCTAGGGGCCAGTGAGATGACTTAGTGGGTAAAATGTATCTGCCACCAACCACCTGGGTTCGAGTCCTGGGACTGACTCCTGAAAGCTGTCCTTGAACTTTTACTCCTGTTCAGTGTGTGTGTGTGTGTGTCTTCTTTTAAAAGCCACTAAACACATCACGCTGTGCAGCGTAACGGAGTTTTAGAAGCTTTCCTCCATTCCACGTGACCCTTCCTGGGTGTGTACTAGTAATCTCCCCTCCCCTGACAAAGGGGCGCTATCTTCGCGCACACTGCTAGAACAGAATACAATACACAGTGCGGCTTAAACAGCAGCCACTTTATTTCTCAGTCTGGAGAACAAGAAGTTAATACAGTGCTGACAGATCTGGGGTCTAGGAGGCCCCGCCATGGTCTTGGAAGGCTGGAGTCTTCTGCTGTATTCAAAGGCCACCAAAAAAAAATAATAATAACATTTGTCACATTCTCTTCTTGAATTTCTTTAGTGTTTTTTTAAACACTTATTTAGTGTGTGTTTTGTTTACATGTGTGTCTGCACAAGCATGCCTGGTGCCTGAGGAGGCCTGAACAAAAGTGTCAGGTGGCTGTGAGCCACCATGCAGTTGCCGGGAATTGAACCTGGGTTCTCGGGAAGAGCAGCCAGTGCTCTTAAGCCTAAACCATCTCCCAGATTAGTCTCTTTGTCTGCTAAGGACACTAATCCAACTAAAGGAGCTCACTTTCCTGAGAGTCTAACCAGTGTCGCTTCCCCAGGGTTCCCCCTTACTCTTCTTGTTAGTAGCGGTTAGGGTTACAGTCCTTACCTGCTTTCCATCTTTGTACTTTGTTCTTCTGAACATTCCATCTAATTTTCAGAATAACTCAAGGATGCTGGCTGTGCAGCCTGAAGGATCTCCAGTGAAGTCATAGGGAATTCTGCTCAGGTCCTCGTGGGCACATCTACCACAGAACAGAATTCCAGGCTGAGGTGGAGTGAAGCAAAGATACTGTACAGATTAAACAGAAAAACAAGGCAGCTTAGAAGACAGAGGTGAGGCCCTGTAGAGGAGAGTGCAGCTGGCTACCTGAGGACGGCCTGTGGCCTGAGAGGACTGAGGCTCCTTCAGCTGCAGGTGTCTATATACGGGGAAACATGCACTGCTGCATTTCTTTTTGTTATCCAAAGAATTTTTCGCTTGAAGAAACTTTAAGCTGGAAGTGGTAATGCATTCCTTTGATGTCAGCACTGGGGAGGCAGAGGCAAACGGGTTTTTATGAGTTTGAGGTCAACCTGGACTATACAGTGAGTTTCTGGCCATCCAGGGCTACACAATGAGATGCTGTCTCAAAACAGTTTCTAGATTGATTTGTTTTATGTGCATCTGTTTTGATTGCATGTATGTATGTGCACCATGTGGGGGGGGGGATGCCCACAGAGGTCAGAGTGGGAATCAGATCCCCTGGAACTGAAATTATGGGCAGTTGCGAGCTGCCGTGTGGGTTCTGGGCACTAAATCCAGACCTTCTACAATTGCAGCCAATGCTCTTATCCTCTGAGCCATCTCTACGCCTCCAAGGAGACCATTTTACAAAGATTTTAAATGTTTTATGTATATGTGTGTTTGTGTACATGAGTACAGTGTCCACCGAGGTCAGGAAGGATTTTGAGCCCCTGAAGCTGGCGTTGGTGGTTGGTCTCAGGTCATCAGGCTTGGCAGCAACTCCATTACCCACTGAGCCTTCCCACCGGCCCACCTGTTGTGGAATATTGCCTTAACTATGTAAAGATATGTTACACTTGTTTATGTTACTATATTACTTTAACTATGTAAAGATATGTTACACTTGTTTATGTTACTGAATATTACTTTAACTATGTAAAGATATGTTACCTTTGTTTATGCTGCTATTGTTCAGTTATTAAAAGATGTGTGGCATTTGTTTCACCTTGCCTGCCTGAGGCACCTGATTGGGTTAATAAAGAACAGCCAATATCTAGGCAGGAGAAAGGATAGGCAGGGCTGGCAGGGAGAGAGAATAAATAGGAGGAAAAGTGAAGAACAAGAGAGGGAGACACCAGGGGTCAGCCACCCAGCCACAAAGTAAGCAGAAAAGAAAGTCACATAGAATAAAGAAGAGTAAAAAGCCCTGAGGCAAAAGGTAGATAAAGAGAAACAGGTTAAGTTAAAAGAACTATCCGGAAACAAACCTAAGCTAAGCCAAACATTTAAAATTAATTATAAGAGTCTTGTGTTAGGATTTGGGAGCTGGTTGGTGGCCCAAAAGAAGTCTGGTACACCCACCCTCAAAAAAGATTATGAGAATGTGTGTAAGTGGTCTTGACCTGTTCCACTGACTCCAACATCCTCCTCTGATCTCTGCAAGCAACAGGCATGTCCATGTGTGCAGACATATATACAGACAAAACACACAACAGTAAAATAGAAAAAAAAATTTGAAGGCTTTTTTTAAAAGACAGTTTTTATGATAAAAAGGCTCTCGCCACAAGAACTGACTGCGGTCCTCCAGAGTGCAGGGGGCGCTTCGAAATAGGGCTCACCTTCCAATTTCTCACACCGGCAGCGGTCTTTGCAAAGGTCCTTGTTGCTAGGAGACAAGATGCGTCGTTCGACTCTTGAGCCGGCTGTTGACGGCCCAGCTCTCTTGGCGGAGGACTGAGGTCTAAGGATCCATTACCTTAGTTCCAGAAGGTCCCTGTCTATGGGAGCGTTTGCTTTCTAATTTCTCACAAGTAGGCCGTGGCGACAGGCCGAGGCTCCTTGCCTGAACCCAGTCCGCCGCCCAGCCATGCCTAAAAAAGGAAAAAAAGCAAAGATACCCTTGTCCGATGAGGATCAGCTGCTTCTATTTCAGCAGAAGTTGCTAGCAGAGGAGGAGGCGGCCAAGAAGAAAGAGAGACTTCTCACACAGTTCTTGAAGGTGATGCTTGTCTTCACTGTGTCTTGCCCAAACCCACCCCGCCCATGCCCTGACACCGTTGCCCGGGTCGCGTCACTGTGACTGACTCATTGCCATCCCGCCCGTGCCTCCTCCAAAATCCTTGGCTACATTGTTTTTGGCCTAGGGAGTTCTCTGTGAAGCATGGAGAGGGGGCATAGAGTTGGAAGTACCAACTGGGCTCTGGAATTAGGACAGTAGGCGCTGTCAAGTGTCCAAATTCAGTGTCTTGAAAATTCTGGGGGCTGGAGAGATGGCTCAGCGGTTAAGAGCACTGGCTGTTCTTCCAGAGGACCCGAATTCAATTCCCAGCACCCACGTGACAGCTAACAACTGTCTGTAACTCCAGTTTCTGGGGATCTGATACCTTCACACCAATCCACATAAAATAAACTAAATTTATTAAAAAAAGAAAGAAAATTCTGATGTTCTGTCTGGAGTGGGGTCATTAGAAAGTCTGCTTTGACGTCTCACCTTGAAGGAAACTCATCGAAAAACACAAATCCAAGCCCTGGGTGTTGGTTGCCAAGAGCTTTGGCCCTTCAGAATGCTCGAGGGCTGGTGTTTTTCAGGGTGGTATCCTTGGCTGAAATGGGTGTGTTTATCCCTCACACAGGACAAGCTGGCCAAGGAAGAACACAACAGCGCTCTGAATCTTAACAAGATCAACACCCAGTGGAGAACTGTCCTAAGGGAAGTCAAGACCAGGGAACTTCACAAGGACATCGAGATCCTCAGCCAAACCTTTGAACGCGTGGTGGACTGCAAGGACAGTGTCATCAAGGTACGGCTCCCTCAGATCGCTCGGCGCTGGCCTCGACCTTTCTCAGTAGAATGGGCCTAGTGGATTCATTCATTTATTTATTTTGAGACAAGGTCATGTATCCCTATACTGGTCTCCTGATGTAACTGGAGATGACCTGAACTGCTCACCCTCCTGCTTCCACGTCCCAGCTGCTGGCACCGCAGGTGTGTACAGCCAGACCTACCTGACTGGCCCTTAAACCTTCACCCGGCACAGGCTCCGACAAATCCACCGTACTGGTTCTAATCGTTGTCAGTGGAATGAGAAAATGCTGAACTGTCACTATCCCTGCCTTCCTGAGAAGAACTAACTGCTCTCTTTGGCCATTTGCTGCCCCAAACAAGTACTGCGGAGTTTTAAAGTAGCGAACCAGCAAACAAAACTTACTCTTGGTCTTTCTATCAGTTCCAGAAGAGTGGGGCCGACCAGTCAGAGGGCTAGTATTAGAGGGTGGATATTTTGTTTTTGTGAAGGGTCTCACTCTGTAGGTCTGGCTGGCCTCGAACTCACAGAGATCCATCTGCCTCTGTCTCCCAAGTGCTGGGGTTGAAGGTGTGCGCCGCTGCACCTGGAAAGATAGAGGTCTTTTTGACTCTTGTTTCACCGTTTCATTCAAGCAATTTGGCCTCCGTGATTCAACTTCAGTGTCCCTAGATAAGGCTGGGAAGCCCTCTGAAGGCGAGAGTAATTCTGGATTTCCAAACCAATCAATTGGCCATCTTAATGATCTTTTGGAGGTAGGAGGGAGATAGACACAGACTCGTACAGCCCAGGCTGGCTGTGTAAATTAGCAGCTCTATTTCGGCCTTCCCAGGTACTGGAATTATTGACAGGTGCCATCAACTGGGCCCATCCCTTACGCTCTTAAGAAATTCTCGAATGCTCTCATCCTTTGAAGGATTCTGATATACTTTTTTTAAAAAAGCCCGTGTGTGCGTGTGCATGCCATGAAGGTCAGGGGGACCTTTGTGGAGTCTTCTCAGTCCACCCGTATATGGGCATAGCTGTCTCCTTGGTCTTGTGTGTCCCCACCTCCCGCCTTTTAAGTTCTTGCGGTTCCACTTAAGCACAAATGAAATGTGTGCCTGAGCCATCTCTTCACTTTCTTCTCTGTGCAGCCTGGCTTTGGGATTGGTGACGCAGAAGGCCACCATGCTGCCCTTTCCACCACAGCTTTGGGATTCTTGGGGGAAGCATGGGTGGTCTCAGCACAGTGAGATGTGTTAGGCATGGCAGCATGTCTAACACAGCACTGGTGCTGGACCAGGAGCATACAGAGCCCCTGCGCAGCCTGTGCTTGGTTTCTTTGCTGCTCTCATGACCAATGCTGGGCAGAAGAATCTGGCCCTCAAAGCTTCTCTGCAACCTATTGATGCCTCTACATTTCTTCTTAGTTCTGACTTTCGTTGAAGGAATTTCTTGATCACCCCCCCCGCCCAACTCCCATTTTTCGAGATGGGGTTTCTCTGTGTAGCCCTGGCTATCCTGGAACTTACTTTGTGGACCAGACTGGCTTCAAACTCACAGAAATCTATCTACCTCTGCTTCTTGAGTCTGGGGTTAAAGGCTCATGCCACTACCACCCAGCTATGGCCCTCCTTTCTCTTTCTCTTTCTTTTTTTTTAACCATCTCACTAAATATCGGAGGGGAACCAAGATCCGCCCAGGAAGTGGCAGCTTCCTTGAAGGTAGCACCAAAGGGGAGAAAGCTACAGCCCCTTTTTGTTTATTTTTCATTTTTCTTTTTAAAGACAGGGTCCTTACTGGCCTGGAACTCACTATGTAGACCAGGCTAGCCCCAAACCCAGAGAGATCCACCAGCCTCTGCCTCTGAGTTCTGGGATTAAAGACATTCGCCATTACACTGTTTATCTTTTTTAAATACACCTTTTATCTGTTTATAGTACAAATAATAAAAACCCAGAGACAGATACTGGGGTTCAACCTTAAGATCAGAAAAGCAAAGCAACCAGCCACTGGCTCTTACCTCCACCTCAGACAGAAAATGGGTGAGAATCCTGAAGACTCCACAGAGTTCCTGTCTCTTCCTGTTTATATTCCTCTCGCTGCCCAGCCACATCCCTAGTCTCCACCTCCCTAGTGCTGGGATCACCTTTGTGTGAGCTCTGTTTCTATTTTAGACAGATCCAATCTTGTGTAGCCCAGGGTGGCCTTAAACTAGCAAAGATCCACCTGCCTCTGGGATTAAAGGAGTCAGTTACTACTTCCTAGTTTGTACAGCTGCTTTGCTCTGTGATCTTCAAGCAAGCTTTATTTATTAAAACACAAACAATATACCACTATACCAGCTTGCCAATTCCTCTTTAGGCTTTTCTTCTCAAACAAAACTCCACAGTAACAGCAAATATCCACTACCAAGTCAGTGTCTTTCAGCGAGAAGACCACACCTTTCCTCTGCCTATCTTGCACGGGTGGGGATTCAGCAGATCCCGGCAGCTTCACACTAGAGGTTACAACT